AAAAGGTCTGGAATTTTCCCCCCCCCCCCCCTCCCCCCCCCCCCCCCCCCCCCCCGTAATCCCAAGAGAAGCACAAGCTCCTGCATGGGTCACGCCATTAATCATCTTTCCTACAAACTATTACTAAGTCACATTTCTTCCATTCTTGGTTCGTGTAATTACAAAAACCAAACTGTTAATGGATTTCGGCCCATATCCTCATTAAATGTAGCTTCCTTGGCTTTATGTTGTTATTCTACTCCAGAAAGTTCTCTCTGAGTCAGTCCTGACTCTCATCTTGTGAGTTAGCTTTCCTCCGCTACCCTCCGATTTTCTCAAACAGCCTTCATATGCCTCTATATGGTTAATGAAAAGATCCAAATGCAAACCGGCTTCCTTCAAGGGTGTAGTAGTCTGAATGAGAATGGTCTCCGTAGAATCATGTGCTTGAGCGCTCGCTCCCCACTTAGTAGAACTGTTAGCGAAGAATTAAGAATTGTGTGGTCTTGTCACTGGCTGCAGGTTTCAAAAGCCAATGCCAGGCCCAGTCTCTCTCTCTCTCTCTCTCTCTCTCTCTCTCTCTCTCTCTCTCTCTCTCTCTCTCTCTCTCTGTGTGTGCGCACGTGCGTGTGTGGCACCTGTGACCCACCCACCCATTTAGCGTTCTCACCACCTTCCCCCATGGCAATTCCCTTTCCCTTGTCCGCAGTCTGATGGCTGCTCTCTAGAGGAAACACCTGGTACTCGCGCAGAATGGAGCCCCCAAAGGAAGCAGTTCCACACACTTTTCTGAGGACACAACGACAGTGTGGCATTTCCTTCTCCCTATAAGATCAACTGACATCCGGCCGGAGACATCACTGAATTTTGCTATCGCCAAGTTGTCTTCAGCAAACCCACCCACAGTACAAGAAGAAGAAGCATCAAGTCAGAAGCGATCACTAGCTGGGAGAAAAAGGGGCCCTTAGAATGCAGTGATGGGCCTCTTGCTGCGCCGTAGGGCTCAGAGAGTCATGGCTGTGTGCAGAGGAGAGCATCTAGGAAGTCCCACACTGAGTCTCTGTGTAAACTAGATGTGGTCATGCACTGTGTATAAAGTGTGAGCCCAAGAAACAACTGGACTGTAGAAGCAGGTGCAGCGGAACTTCCCTGTCTATGATGACTTGGAGGCCATTTAAAGGGTCATTCATCTGGGATGTGTGCAAATGCTGCCTATCAGAGAATTTTGACAGCATAATTTATAGAAAAGGAATGCATTCCCTATGTCTAACCTGGCCACAAAGAAGAATCACAGGAATCCCTTCTTATCCACCTGGAAGCCGTGGAACCACTGGATGGAACTGTGTCCGCACACAGCGCTGCAATCTGCAGTACCCAGACAGCGGAGCTGAGAAGTTAGATGTCTAAATGATGTCAGGTGGGCAGCATATGCAGCCTGGGCACTCAGGACAAAGGGATAAGCCATGTGCTGGGGTGGGGAGGAATGAGACAAAAGATTGCATCGTGCAGCTCACAATGGTGCACGATTTAAAAAGTACAATGTATTGACTCCTGAAGCTTTCAGTTTAGAAACCACGTAAGTCACCTAAGTGAAAGGCGGCCACTCTATCTCATTAATCCCATTCCCAGTTCCCAGTCATGGTCCCTCTGTCTAACATGTCAAAATTCCAGTGAGATAAGTAAATGTGGGTGCTTATTTGAAATTTAGGATTGTAAAATTTGAACATATAAATCATTACAAAACAAAAAGATCAGAGGGTCTCGCCATTCCGTTCCACAGGTGTTTCCGTGTCTGCCTGACATTTAGTTATTGCTTTTAATTCTGGATGTCTTACTAGCTGGCACCAGGGACCAGTTATTCCGTGTTTAATCACGAACACTTCTGAATTAGTAATGCAAATATCACCTCCGTGCCCTGAATATTATGTTTGCTAAAGTTAGCTTAGGGGGTGGCAAAATGTAAACAGCTTTAAGGTTACTTTAAGATAACATGTCCTTCTAATGATCGTGTCTTCATTTTACACTGTCCCCAAATTACTTTTAGACTATAACTTTCTAAGCCTGACCTCAGGGCAAAGATCTGAGGGCAGGACAATGTCAGAGAAAGCCATGTCTCAAAATGAGATGGAATTCAAGTCCAAGCTCAGTGATGTGTGAACTCCATTCCAGAACCAAGGCTCACGGGGACCCCGAGCCACATCTAACCTTGACCGTCACTCATAGCTCTCTGCGACCCACTGTGAGGAGGGTCCGCTAGCACAAAAAAAAAAAAAAAAAAAAAAAAAACCCCGAGCAGGAGTCACGTGGTACATTAGAGAGCCAGGGAAAACCCATTATTTCAATGTGCAATGGTAGCGGTAGAAGTCCTTCTTGCTCAGCATGTGGTCCCTGGACCACCTGCATTAGCCTGCCTGAGAATTCATCCACGCGCAGAACTCAAGTCTGCCCGATTCCATCCACCCAGAACCTGTGTTTTCATCGAGAACCCCAGCAAACTTGCATGTTAAGTTGCCAACAGTTTGAGAAACACCAGCGGAAGAGGGCGTCCCACCACTTAAAAGTTGGCCCATCATTCACACACAGAGACATCAGGGGAAAGCCAAGGTAGGTACGGGTGAGAGACTGCCAAATACACATAGCCAAGGAGCAAGAGGGCTGCTGTAGCTGACAGGAGGCGCAGCTGGTGAGGGCCGAAGGCAGGCAGTCTTTTAACAATGGCCGGGGTGCTGCTAAGAAGAAGCAGACAACATAGCTTAAAACCAGAGCAAGGCTCTGGGGGAGCCAAGCCAGGAAGCCTTGGAGTGCCTGCGCTGTGATCTCTTAGGCTGTATAACTTTTCCTAAAACTCATTTCTATCACCAACAAAACAGGCAAGCTTCCCATGAGAGGGTGTGACCAGATCAAATACGGTTCGCATGAAGCTTTTGGGCTCCCGTATGAGGCTCAGTAATGATACAGAAACCAATGGCTGGCAAGGGATCAATATGTGCCAATATTTGTTCCTTCGGGACTTCGCCAAGTCTAATTCTAATACTGAGGTGATTATTTTTAAGAGGTTTTTTTTTTTCATTATGTATGTACATGTTTGTGTGGATGGGTTTGTGAATGTGGATGCAGTTCCCACAGAGGCCAGAAGGGGGCATCGGGTACCCTGGAGCAGGAGTTGGAGGCAGTGGAGAGCCATCTGATATGGGTGCTGGGAATGAAAGTCCTGTCTTCACTAAGCCCATTTTATAAGGTGATTGTTATTCTCATTTGACAGATGAGGAAACTTACTTTACAAAATGTAAGGAAATGTCCCAGGGTCCCTCCCCAGACACAGTGCAGGGCTTGCCGCTCGGGCTCACGTACACTTCCTCAAGGCTGGCTCTCACCCTACTCACTGCTCAGGGTGCAGACGGACGGGTGTCACCTTACCAGTATCATGCTGTGTCCCGGGGGAAGGATGCCGCACAAGTCAGTTTCTACGTCTGAGATGGGAGGGAGAGCAGGAGGTCACAGGACAGGGCCCAAGCTGGCCGATTAGAGACCTCCACGCTGACACACGGAACTGTGGCCCTGCCAGAGCTGACAGAAGGCTGTCACTTCTCACTGGGATGGAGATGAGGCTTGGACAGCCCAGACCTACTCTTCTTTACCCACAATTCCCAAGTGTTTCTATCCTACAGGGCGCCCCGACAGAAGAGGGTTGCTTATCTCCCAGTTGGTCGGCTATGGGTAAGGCCAGATTCTATATCTTCTTCCTTAAAAATCCCACCCTTAGTTCCTTCATCAGACCTATTTATGCTCAGTGTGGACAACTGATGGAAGCCCAGTTATTTATCTGGGGGGCCTCCGGAAGTGCTAGAAGCCGCCACTCCATTGGAAGGCAGACTGCTTCTTTCTTATGGCAGTCTCCTGAACTCACAGGCATAGTCCGACAGCCCTGCTTAGAAACCACGGCTCAGCTGATGCCAGCGTCTTCCATGGGTTCATTACCTTTATTTTTCCTTCATAAAAAAAATAAACAACAGCAATAGGGTCCACGTTGTGCGATTTCACACGATGATACTGGTCAAATACTTTGCGCCCTTCTGGGGACTCAAGTCAACATTAGCAGTCACACTTCTTCTTTTATTTATTTAGATTACCCAGAAGCCTCTTTCATGCCAGGAGAGCAGTGCACAGTGCAGAGGTCATGTCTGCCAGACATTGCCAATGCGTGTCAGTAATAGGCTGCATCCTAGGAGAAAGATGGTATGTGCGTCTGTCTGTCTGTTTGTGTCTGTGTGTCTGTGTATATCTGTGTATGTGTGTCTCTGTGTCTGTGTCTGTCTGTCTGTGTATGTGTGTCTGTGTCTCTCTGGGTGTGTCTGTGTATATCCGTGTATGTGTCTGTGTATGTGTCTCTGTGTGTGTATGTATGTCGTATATGTGTCTGTGTATATCTGTGTATGTGTCTGTGTGTGTATGTGTGTCGTATATGTGTCTGTGTCTGTGTGTCTGTGTGTGTCTCTCCGTGTGTGTCTGTGTATATCTGTGTATGTGTCTCTCTGTGTGTGTATATGTGTCTCTGTGTCTGTGTCTATCTGTCTGTGTATGTGTGTCTGTGTCTCTCTGTATGTGTCTCTCTCTGTGTGTATGTGTGTGTGAATGTGTGTGTGCATGCACAACGATCAATGTGGGTTTGCCTTTCAAGCCTCTTGGTAACCATTACATACCGGTAGTGTCCTGAGCAGGCTGTAGATATGACATGGATAGAAATCTTGAATGATGATGATGTTGATGGTAGAGATTTGCTCACTAACTCCACAAATTAAAACAAATATTTTAAAGCAGGTTTTCAGAGGATCTTTATGGCCATCACTAAACAACCAGGAAAAGCTTACCTTCTATAATTTACTTAGTGTTGTGTTGAGAAAAATGTTAAGTATCAGAAAAAAGAACCTGAGGAAGGAGGAGAGATGCCTCCAGTGAGGGGCTCGTTTGGGTTCCAAGGGCAATCTTGAAAGGAGCCCAGGAAAGGAAGAGAACACGCCTTTGAGGCCTTGCATCTTGATTACACTATGGACTATTCCTCACACAAAATGCTCATCGTGGGGGCTAAAAACCTAAGTAATTAGTAGAGCAATGATTCTTAGCCACACGTCTTGGAGCATCCGAGCTGGCCGGGGACACTGGTACTGCATCTCCATTTCTTGGAAGGTCTGTGTACCAATCTCAAAGGCCAGTGGTGCAAAGCACTGAAGATCCTGCCCCGCCTTTCTCAATCTAACCGCCTTGGCGGCTGTTCTTGGTTAGATGCCATCCCGCACCTAAGGCAGGAATGCGGTGGCTGCAAAAAAAAGATGAAAGCTCGCTGAAGTCCATCACGGCTAGGCCTCAGCTTGTTACAACAAATGTCAAGTTCCTATGATGGACAGACAGACTCTGCAGATGCCAGACACATTGAAACCAGGCTGCTCGCCTACACCAAGTGCCCAAATTTGAAAAAATCCAACTTGAGTGTTATGCCATCAACACTCAAAATTGGTGGACCCTATGCCACAGTATCAATAACATCAAATTGAAGGCTATTTTAGATAAATAGATTATATATGCATACATAGATAAATATGTTATATATGCATATGGCTTTGGTGTATATATTGACAGAAGTAGTATATGCTATGGAGATAGACATCCTGAATCCTCTTGGTTGGGGCTATGCATTCAATCTCTTCTAATACTGCACTTAGCCACTTGCAACCCTTACCTACAAACTGCACACATGTACACACACACACACACACACACTAGAGCAATGCACCTAACAACCTGTCAGCAACCTAGAACACCCACCTGCATTGAGCCACAGCTCCCACTGTGAACAGTGGAATAACTTTGTCCCCCATTTAACAACCATCGAACTTAAATTCTATTTAATTCTACACTCATAAGGCCATTGGCGGGTGGGGACAATCCGACCTGAACCAGCTTTGAGTACATTCATAAAGAGACAAGCTGTGCTCGCTGATGAACTATAGAATCCTCTAATTACCATCTTATGCCCGTGTATTATCAGTGCTGATGATTAAAATCAGATGCAACACAGAAAGGGGCGGGTGTAGTGAGCAACGCCTTACATAATTCTAGCCAATCAATCAAAACAGACCCACCCAAACTACATCACTCAGAAACCAGCTCCTCTGTTCTCTTCTGGTCTCCACAGGGACCAGACACATACATGACAAACATACATAAAGGCATACAGGCATGCAAAACGTTCACACAATAAAAATAATCTTTAAAAAGGAAAAGAAAAGGAAACCAGCTCCACCTTCCTTTCCACCATAGAAAGAAGCCTCGGGCAATACGGGCCTTGAACGTCTTCATTCAAGGGGTCCACTGTCACTCTTAATAGTGTATTCCTGACTAATCTGTACTACTGCTTTGTTTGATTAAAGTTGTCCTGGGGCTGGAGAGATGGCTCATCACAAGCCTGTACTCCAGCCCGAGGGGATCTGCTGACCCTGGCCTTCACCCGCATCCACATGCACACTCAGATACACCTACACATAATTTTAAAATAGTAAAAAAAAAGAGAGAGAGAGAGACAATTCTCTTGGAAAAATAAAGCTTCCCTGTTACTTTGCAATTATTTCTTTTCATTAAATTCCAAGAATCTGGAAGCATCCAGGTGAGACCTGTGCCACAGGTAATGCTATCGTCAGGGTCAAGACAACTGGGTCCGTCCTACCAACCGGAGCAAAAGAATCTTGAGAAGGCTAAGTTCGGGATGCTCCCACCTCCCGGCTGCTGTCCTGAGCCCAGTCTTCCATCTAGAAAACACGCTCTAGTCAGACTGGCTCGCTCCCAGCCCTCTTCAGACTGCCCGCACAGTTAGAAAAGCTCCCACCATGCATGCCCCTATAAAAAAACATGCTGTAAATTCCACTCTTCAATGGAGAAATATCTCAGTGGACTTTGTGTCTCCGAGGTGTGAAAGCCCTCCCACAATGGTGTATGTGAAGGGAAGCCAGGGTGCATAAAATGCACTTGCACCCTGAAAAAAGTTAATGACAAGCCTCAAATCTATTCTGAAGTTTCCAGTATTATAGACTAAGATGGGGGGGGGCTGATTGATGCCAAGTGCCTTACCTTGGCTTCAGGTCACTGGGAACATTTTCACATGAGGGCTGGGAATCGGAACTCAAGTCCCCTCACTTCAGGAGCAGAGCGGTCTCCCCAGCCTAAACCTGCTTTCTAACTGAGCGCCCCCCTCTTCCTCTTACAAACTGGCATTCCTATTTCCCTACCAAGGAGAAAGTCTTGGTGGGTAACGTTTTCTCAGGCATTCAAAACACAGCCATCCTGAGGGTCCTTCCTGCTGTGGGAAGAATGCACTGGTCAATGTCTCATTTGCTTGGCCCTTCGGCTCCACCCTCTCCACAGAGTACACATCACCGTTTCCCAGCTGCAAAGGCATTATGTCTTCACATCTGGCGGGCTGCACCACTCAGACCCAGTTGGTTCTGGGACACTCAGCACCCTACTAAACATGTATAAGGGCTGTGTACCTTCGTCTTCCAGGGCAACCCGGCCAAGTGGATGGCCCTCCCTCCTGCCACTAAGATCAAAGCCCATTTCCACATCCTTCAAGTTTATCACGGTGTGTTTGTCCCTTTGGCCACAACAGTTCCTGAGAACCATTGGATGGGCTCTCTCAGTGCTCTGCAGCAAACCCGGCAGATACACTCTGTGCTTATTTCTGCCCAAGCTGGCTAGTTACCCAAGAGTCAATAGCGGCTCTGGACTGGGCTTCTGGGAGATTTTCTTCTCCACTAGGGTTGCTTGGTGTAAGAAACACAAAGAGAGCAATTACCCCCAAGAAAATAACCTTTTTGCACGTTCCTGCCGATTAAAGTTATTAGTGGTCACAACTACAGTTAGGTGTGAGGATCTGCATCCTAGACCTCCCCTGAGGGATGAGCCTGCGGGCTGAGCTCATCTGACCCATTTAATGGGAATAATGGAAAAAGCATTCACCAGCTGGAGTGTTGGGTGGGGCTGAATGTGCTCCCACCCTGTACTCCGTACTCTGTCGGCAAGACACCTTCTTAGCTGTTACAGGAAAAGCACCCTCCAAGACAAACACCCTTCTCAGCTGCTTCAGAAAAAAAAAAGGTTCGGCTATGGACGGCAGGTAGGCTGGCCAGGTCTCCCAGAAAGAGGACAGCAGCCAGGTAGAAGATTTGCAGGGACAGAGTTACAGGCTGGGGTGAACGGCGTGGCCACCCACCTCTTGATGTAGCTGCTGAGGCGGTAGACCTGCCCGTCGAAGCTCACTAGGCCGTCCCCGAAGACATTGAAGCCCCCTCGCGCGTCCGTGGGCTCCCCAGGCCCGGGCACCACGAGCTGCTCGCCACGCAGCTGGAAGGTACCAGGCTGTAGGCGGAGCAACTGCGACAGGGGCAGCAAGGCCAGTTCGCAGTCGCAAGTCCACAGGCTGCGGAGCTCCCCGGAAGAAATGGAGGTCAGGCTGGGTCTAGCCACAGGCTCGCACGCTGCGGTGGCCATACCCAGGCTGTGGCTCGGTCCCCTTCCTACCCTGAGGATCGCCAAGTAGGATTAACTACTGCACACAGCAGTGGCTCCGGAGCCCTCCTGTCACCCTTAAGGCTGCCCTCCGTCGAGGAGTGCTGCCGGCAGGGCACCGAGAAAGCGGTCCCCGCGCTGCGCAGCCTTTTTATCAAGCGCCGGGCACGCCCCTCCGGCCCCCAGGCAGGACCCCAGATGCTCCACTCCAGCAGAGCAATCAGCGTTTCATAACTTGGCGCTCTCCCACCTCGCCTGCTCACAGCCAAGTCGTACTTAGTCATCCCACTGGGGTCAGACACTCAGCCCCCGCGTGGGGCCCTCCCCTGCCTGTGCACACTGCCTAGTGCAGCATCTTCTCCACGACAGATGCCCAGGCTTGGCTCAGCGCCCATCCATCCCTCAGGTACCACTGCTCCCAGGGTCCCTGACCCACCTCTCCACCTGGGTGGGGCCCAGGGGCTGTCAGAGCTCAGGCTGGGAGTTCCATATGCATCTAGATTCCCCCACCGCATGCGCAGTCTAAATCTTCAGCTTCCTCCCTCTCCACCTAGATGACCTGGCGTTTCCTTCTCTTGGCCCTTCCTGGCGGGGGTTCCCACCCACCCAGCGTCATTCCATGAGCCTCCTGCCACTTTCCCACGAGGCTTTCTGCATCCCCTTGTGCACTGTACTTCTTGATTCTTTTGCTTCTGCTGCCCCCGGGGCCCTTGGGTGGTTATGTGCTTGGATTCAAGCCGGAAGACCCCCATCTGGCCTCCTTCGTGGACTGAGAATCTGACCATCAGTTTATAGATATTTGGGTGCTCTAGCTATGTGCTCACAAGTTCCCTAAGGGATGAAAGGACCATTGTCCCTTTCAATTTAATTAAAAGAAGAGAGGTAAAGAACCACAAACTTGTAGTCCAACAGAGGGGCAGGCAAGTTTCCCAACAGTTAACACTGACTGAGGGAAGGTCTCTGCTCTCTCCTGAGCGGGCAGGAGACTCCTAGCAACACTGAGGACACCTGGCCAGAGAACCTGAAAGGCAAATAGAATTCAGAGACTATATTCAATTTATCTCCATAGTGTCTGGGTTTAATTGAATCAAACAAAAGCTTTTCTGCAATATTTCATTTATTCTTTAGTTTCTTGAGGATTTTAAGTGATTGTTTATTTTGTGTATGAATGTTTGCCTGTGTGTAAGAGTACAATACCTGTAGAATCCAGAAGAACTCATCAGAACGCTTTTTGCCCGACTCCAGCCATATCCTAAAAGCCAATCTAATGCATCCTCTTTGTCCCAGAGATTCATCTTATCGGTTCTGAGACAACCTTGAGTGATACAGAGAGCTTAACTCAAACTCTCACAGACCAGTTCACACCACCGCTGCGTTCACTCCTAGACTTTCCTGTCAGAGCGCAAGGATCTGGGGCTGATGAGATGCTTAGCAAAGTGCCTGACACACAAGAGGGAGGCTCTGGGTTCAGATCCCCAGTACCCACATAGAAGCTGGGCCCCACACAGGGGCCCACGTCTGTGACCTGAGGTGGTGGAAGACAAGGTGGAAGGTGTGGCGCTCACTGGCTAGGCAACCCTGCTGAATTGATGAGCTCCGGGTTCACTGAGGTCCTGTCTCATAAAAATCAGGGAGAGAGTGATTGAGAAAGTCACCTGGCACTGACCTGGGACCTCCACATACGTACACAGGTGCACAGCCATGCTAAAAACCCTCCTGTATGTGTGCACATATCCACAGGAACACACACACACACAAGACACACACACACACAGCCACAGGAACACACACACAGAGAGAGAGAGAGAGAGAGAGAGAGAGAATACAAATATCTGTTGTCTTCCTCTCTCTTACATCAAATGGTCTTTATTCTTTCATCTCACCTCCTGTATTAGCTATTTTTCCCTAAGTCAAACTCACCCAAAGAGTTGTCTAAATTCCTTCTCTGCTATCTCACCCCAGGGCACCATTGAAACTGACCCTAATAAAATATCAGTGGCCTCCATATTGCCAAAGCTGGCAGACATTTCCTGCTCCGATGTCTCCAGCCAGCCTTGTCCTTGCCCTTCCCTCCCCACTTAACTCCTGAAGAAGTTGTGGGGTAGTCCATGTGCTTGGTAAGAATTTAATGTCTGGCTTGGGAACCCATTAGCTGTGTCAACTAGAATCAGTTTCTTAAACCCTTAGGTCTTTAGACGGTCTCACCTCTAAAATCTGGTGCAATCTGAGACTAGGGAGTGGCGGGGCAGGAATACAGCCAAGGGCTCAGGTTCAAGGAGCTCCCTGGACACTGAGCACACTGGGATCAACCCTGTGTGTTCCAGCTGCTTCACATGCAAACTGTGAGGTTTGTAGGCAAAGCACTATAAACAGAGTCTAGCCCTTAGCAAACGTCACCCAAGTGTGTGTGATGCCCCCATCAGGGGACTTCTCTGAGTTCAATGGCTGACAGCCCACACACTGCATCCCGAAGTCATCACAAGACAGTGCTGCCTCTTGTCTATCCCTGGTTGTTTTCTCTCATCTCTGGCCATTTGTTTGTCCTGAGTCTCAGGGTTCTGTCCTTGGCAGCTTCCTCTTTCATGGTTGGCTTTGTTCAAACCTTTGGTTCTGGTGGCTCCTAAAGCTGATGATCCCTATATATCCAGGTACAGCCCAGACTCTTGCCAGGCTCACAGACAGTCTACCCAACTCCATCCAGCCTCTCCACAAGGCTTTCCACCGGTGTCTCCAGGGAACCTCTTCCTCCTACTGAATGTGCTCATTCCTGTATCCATCATGCTATGAGATGTGCCCATCATCCTATGGGGCACGCCCATCCCTCTCTCCAGAATGCTGAAGGCATCCGAGACTGCCTTTCATCCCTCCCCACCCTGGCCCTCCTCCACCGCCCCCCCACCGCAGTCCTCCGACCCACTGGCTACCTCTGCCTGCTGAATGTGGCACCTGCAAGTCTCGGGTATTTCCTTACTTCTGTCTCAGCCCCTTGCCCCTCTTCAGTGTTTCTCTGGATGTGGCTTCACAGTTCCATCCATCAGGGCAGAGAAGCCAGAGCAGCCGGAGCTTGAAGCAGCTGGTGACGGCCTGGGACTGAAACTAAACAAGCCCTCTCTCCTTTAAGTTGCTCTTGGCAGAGTATTTTATCAAGCAACAGACAAGCAATTGTGACGACTGGTACCCGTAAGAGACTCCAGAGAGTTTGGGGCAGGCAAGAAAAAGAAATACCATCGTTGGACCCATTAGGGTCATTCCAAGCCAGGAAGATACCAGAAACAGAACTTGCCCCTTGATCTTGCCTTCTAGACTCAACACGTGAAAGAAATTAAACTCATTTGTTCTTAAGGTTTTTCATTTAGGTTTTTAAAGCTTTATTTTTTAACTATTTTTAAGATTTTTATATTTCACCTGCCTGTGTGTATGTGTACCACACGCATGCCAAATGCCCATGGAAGTCAGAAGAGGGCATCAGACCTCTGGAACTGGAGTTACAGGCAGTTGTGAACCATATGTGGATGCTGGGAACTGAGCTTAGGTCCTCTGCAAGAGCGACCAGGACTCTTAACTGCTGAGCCATCTCTTTGGCCCTTGTTTTTCAGTATTTTATTACTTTTAATTATTTGTATGTGGTGGGAAGATGGAATGTGGATTTGTGCCCACGGATGCAGTACTGACAGAGACCAGAAGAGGGTGATAATTTCCCTGCTACTGGAGTTACAGGGGGTTGTGAGCCAGCAGATAGGGGTGCTGGGATTCCGGTCCCCTGCAAGAGCAGTACTTGCTCCTAATCGCCAATCCATGTCTCTAGCTCCTAAATCCGTGCTTCTGAAGCTGTTCAGTCTCAGATGCTTCACTACAGCGAAACCCAACAGATTCCTGATTCCCACATACATGCTTAAGAATTGGAAAACGTTGGGCTGGAGAGATGGCTCAGAGGTTAAGAGCATTGCCTCCTCTTCCAAAGGTCCTGAGTTCAATTCCCAGCAACCACATGGTGGCTCACAACCATCTGTAATTGGGTCTGGGGCCTTCTTCTGGCCTGCAGGCATACAGACAGAATATTGTATACATAATAAATAAATAAATTAAAAAAACAAAAAGAATCAGAAAACGTGGCTTGCTACTGCTTGGAAGGTGGAGCTGGCATTTCCACCATGGTGCACAAAGGCTGTTCCTGCCGTGTGGCTCTCGTCTCACTTTACAGGCCTCTGCTCACATTTTAATGCGACAGACATTACACGTGGGGTTAAGGCAGATGACCTCACCTCCTCCTAGGGGCAAATGACCTCTGTGGTGCCCGCCTTTATCTCCCCATTTTCTAGAACTGCTGCCATTCATGCGTGTCTCTGTATCTCTCACTAGGAAAAGAACAGCTCCATCCCATGCCTTTTTATTCCAGGCACATTGTGGCTTCATAAAGATATCCAATTTATTTCCACTGAATGAATGAATAAATAAATGATAAAGAGCGCTGTGTCATGGTTATGCATAACATTCTAAAAACAGTGCCAGGCATAAATAAGTACTATTGAATGTTTGTTAAATAAGCGAACAAAATACACCGAGCATGCCTCGGATCGTTTTTTTCCCTGTGGTTACAACTGTCAGAGCCATGTGAAAGCCGAGGCAGGAACATATGGAGCAGCGGAAAGCCCAGATTTGCAAAGATGTTTTATGCAAAGAAGTTCACATTCATATTTACTGTACTGACTCCTGACAGCTTTAGTCATGACTGAACCAGAATGGAAAATTTTCCTTCCTCCCATCCAGGCTTACCTCATTGGGCTCTGGCTGTGCGGTTGGCTGAGCTCACTGCTTCTGTCTGCCCAAACCAACACTGCTCTGGGGTCCACACACACGCCTATCTGGGCCCGTGGGATGATGCTGGTGAGCTTTACTCCTTGGCTCTCTGATGGCATCTTCTTAAACACTGGGCGGGACACTCGGTGTTCTGGGGTGCTGAGGCCTGTGGGGGTCAGGAAACTGTGGGATCCTGAAAGCAGGCCAGAGGCAGCGCAAACGGCTCCTGGGAAGACTGGCTTGGGTCATGAGAACCAAGGGTGGCACTGGGATATGGTTTGAATCTACAGAACATGATGTGGGAGTGATTTCTTACTAATAAAGAAACTGCCTAGGCCCATTTGATAGGCCAACCCTTAG